TTTTGTCTGGGGTATATTCTAAACAATAGAGACTCAACTGATATGTCAGACGGGCTGTTAAATGTTTCTAGGGTTGTAAGTGGTATTGTTTTGACACTACAAATGTTCACTGTATGTGAGTCTGTCATACAGTTATGCTGAAGAAAATAAAACCAATATCACTCACAACTGACGCAGATTGTGACGTTAGTGCAAGTGTGTGTGTCAAAAGAAAGTGCTGTTCACAGCAGAGTTTCTTTAGCAGAGAAAGACTTGACGAGAAGGCACTGGCAAGTCAAAACAGAGAGAAGAGAGGCTCTGTGAGCACAGCAGTGCTGTCAAAGCTGCCTATAAGTCTTTGAGCTACAGAAAATAACCCTGGCAGAGTAGGCTTGGATATTAATATTTAAAGCTTTTCTACCTTCTGAACTTGTTTCGAATTTCAAATTTCAAACTGAGGTGGGTTAAAAATAGACACTCACCTTTTCTCCTTTCATACCTGTCATGCCTTTAGGACCCTTAATTAAAGAGAAAGGTCACGAGATGTTAACACATTGCACAGAATCACAAAATCTAACTTTCTTAATACAGTCTATATTGACATGTTCAATATTGATCACTGCATGGATGAAGTGAAGCTTTTTGAATCTATGTACATTTATGCTTTTAGCTGATGCTTTTATTCAAAGTACCTTAAAAATTTGAAAAAAAAGCCGAGCTAAGAAAGAAATAATCTAAAATGTGATAAGAAATGATATAAAATATGAGATAAAGTAATTGTTACAAAATCCCTTGCAGGATAATGCAGAAAGTTTTGCCAGGTATTGAGTATCAAATGCTATATTATCAATATTCTATTTAGCAATCATATGTTTTCTTTCTAAAAATACCAAAATTTATTGGATACATTTCTCTTACTACCAAGATGGTAACCAGATTACATTTCTATTCACTAAACCATCGATACAGTACACTGTCTTTTGCACCATGTTACGTAAATTAACAAATCAATCTATAGAATGAATAAATACAGCAAGACAAATAAATAAATATAGAATGAATGAATGAAAAAAGAAACTCAAAGTAATCAAATTAAACACAAAACAAAACTAAATAAAACTAAATAAAATAAAATAAAATATTTGAGGGATGCTATAGTGACATTTGAGGGATTTGAGAAGTGCTATAGTGTCTGCCCATGAGTTGGTATCACACGTGACTTACCATGAGACCTAGAGGCCCATTGGCACCGACAGTGCCTTTGACTCCCTTGTAATATTGAGAAAGAGTTGTTAAAAGCATTTAACACAAAATTAGCAGCAAATAACACAGAGAGAGAACAAAAAAACATGCCACTGTTTCAACACTAGGGGCCAAATTTACTAACAGCTGGCACCAGTACAAACTTTTGGCATCACTAAAGGCATGCAGTGAAAAATTTGCGGTAATGGCATGGTAATTTTTGCAGGTGACCTTATTGCATATGCATTTGTAGGAGTTTCCTTTCAAATGCAACCTTCATAGGAGGAGAGCATTTTAAGTAAATAATGCAATGTGATTTAGTAAGGTTTGCAGTGGTCAATTTATTATTTACTATTTAACACCGCAAAAACAAGCATGTCTTAACTTATTTTGTGCTTAACATGGCTATGATAGTTGCTAATTTGGTCTTGATAGATTGTGCTGGTCATTATGGAAGTGAGCTGTCTGCGTCTGTCTTCTTTCAATTGCACAATGTCAATACATCTTTTGCAGATCTTTCATCTACCATCA